CATCCTTGTATGGGCTCTGGGACTCCAGGAATAGCCCAGCTGCCTATCCAAAAGCATGCAGTAAAAATCGACTAATTAAGAGCTTCCTTCAAAGTCGGAGTGCATCTGCCTGAGAGGCAATGAACTAGCAATATGTAAGCAGATGAGTCAGATCTGTAAAACGAATGTAGCCACAATACTCGGGTTCTGGAATAGGCTTAGAGTCCAGAAGTGGACGAACAACAAAAATGTTCCTCTAGAATTTACAGCTGTTGAGCGTGAAGAAAAAGAAGAATTCCAAATACTCAAATGACTCATCCTAATCCTGTTAGAAATTTAACCACTAGAACAGTTTGTGAATAGAGCTGTAATGTGGAAAACAGCACCAAAGATGAGACACCTAATGCATTAGATGTTGCATTAACTCCACAGACGGCGGTTATATTTTCAGAACATACAGCCATTACAAAAAAACTCTGTACTATACAGATAATTGTGAATGGCTTTAGTTCGACACCGGCCCCGTTCAGCAGTCTTGGCTCTGTTCTGTGTTCCTGTGTTAATTACATCAAGTAGCGAAACAACCCAAATATTTATCTCTGTGTCTTTCTCCTGCTCCTACCTCATCTGGTCTCACAGTTATCACCAAATGGTCAAGTTTATTATTTTTTCCAGTATGCACAAAACACCATGGTAACTCCGTCCCAAAATAGGACGCATTGTGTGTGTGCGTGCGTGTGTGTGGGTGTGTGTATGTGTGTGTGTGCGTGCGTGTGTGTCTGTGTGCGTGTGTGTGTGTGCGTGCGTGTGTGCGTGAGTGTGTGTGTGTGTGTGCGTGAGTGCGTGTGTAGGTGTGTGTGGGTGGGTGCGTGCGAGTGTGTGTGTGTGATTATTTTAAAACTCCACCCCGGTTGTCGTGGGGGGTCCTAATATAACTAAACGATTGAACTAGATTTGCTTCTGGGGATCCTCATCCGAATAGCGGCTTTGTGCCACCAGGTATTAGTAGTTCGTTGTGCGGTCATGGAAGGGTTGAACATGACTCACACCATAAGATCTTGAATGTCTGCGCTTAATTGATCTAACCAGTTCTCGGAAGACTACCTAATTCGTTTTATTAACCATCCATGGTGTGTGTGCGTTATGTCATGTTCGTGGATAAAGAGATAAATTACAAAGGTAGGCAGAAAAGTAAGAGAAGAAAAAGCAGAGAGAGAGAGAGAGACAGAGAGAGGGGAGAGAGAATGAGAGAGAGAGAGAGAGAGAGCGAGAGAGAGAGAGCGAGAGAGAGAGAGAGAGATGCGGATAGAATATGTGTGTGTGGTCAGTTCAGGGTGTGGGTTCGTGTGCACCATTTTGAATGAAAAATAGTCCCTCTATCCTTTAACAAGCATTTTTGTAGGACAGCCAAGTCAAACATGTGGTCCGCGGGCCGCGTGCGGCACTTTTGCGAGCACAATTTTTTTAATGACTCCAATTAGTTGTCATGTGTGGTTTCAAGACAACACAAATATGATCCAAATGGCCCTCGGGGACCCTCAGTTTCAGAACATTCCGCGCTCATTATAATATTTATTATCGTTATTTATTATAGGGTTCGATCCTAGCTGTGGGACATGCACCTTGCGTTGGTTTCGACAGTGGTATCAAGAAAGCCAACCGTCCAGAAAGCAATGGCAATCTCCTGGACGTAAATTTGCCTAGAAAAACCATACAACAGCCAGGGGCTGTTGGGGTTGGTTCTGCAACGTCCTGTAAAGGATACGCAACTAACCTATTTATTATAACGCGATGAATGCCAAGTAAAAAATAATATATGCGAAATAGCATGAACTGTATGGACAAATGCTTGAAAGTAAGTAAAAAAAGTAAAGATCCCTTTTCACGCCTTTCGGCGCAACGGGCATATGGGCAGAGCGTCCCATATTTTTACAGACCATCAGCACTCTGTGGGTAATGTGGTCAGCATTACGCCGGCTGTCTTTACTTTCCCAGGACAGCCCATCCTGGTACCCATTTTAGGCTGGGTCGACCTGCGACGTCCCATACCACGATAAAAATCCACGCAGCCCACGCAGGTTTCGATCGCGGTATGCTGGCTTACGAGTCGGACTCGCAACGCCTTAGCCACGGACGCCGCTAATGCTTGAAAAGAGGATGTTTAAACAAGGTGAGAGGGTGCGAAAAGGGAGACGAGTGATTAGCTTCACTCTCTCTCTCTCAATTATAAGTCTCATCTCCTTACAAAAATGAGAGGTGGGGGGGGGGGGCAGACACTTTCTACCCCCCCCCCCCCTCTTATCCGGCGTCTATGTTATGATGTGATCTTAAAATATCTGCACGTGCTTAAAAACTGCATGGCTGTGGGTGCGCCAGTCCTTCGTCAGCATTTCTAGAGGCAGCCGTTCCCTGCTGGCCTGAGACGTGCTGCTTCTGCCCACTAGGCACAGATGCGTGTTGTGTTACTCACACCGTGGGAGCGAAGGTAATTCCGAGGCTAAGGCTCGGCTGTGAGCACAGCTTCGCTGTCTATGTGTGTGTGTGTGTGTGGATATGTGTGTGCGATCGCCTACCTTTACATAACAGACAGATTGCTGTAAGGAAAAGTTTTACACAGACTCTTTCATATTTACTCTAAAGTTGAAGGGATTGATAATACACCGAGACACGGTTTTATGAGAGAGGGTGCCTCCCCGTGTGGGGCCCATTGTTTGAGGTTGAGTTGGTGAGGGGGGGGGGGGAAGCGGGGGGGGGGGGGTAATAGGCTAATTGCTCTATAACAAGCTTATAACATCGACTAGTAAGAGACGTTTCGTTTGACGTCGGAAAGGCATCTACCTTGTTGGCTTTGGCGACTCTGGCAATTGAAGTTTGCATTTACTGCGTGCGCATATTTCTGGATTGTTTCGGAACTAATTGTTTGTTCACCAGTTTTTCAAATGCCGCAGTGGGAGACATTTCATTTGCAAATGTATGGAGAAACCCGACAGCAATAATTTTGAAACCTCGATTAAGACTAAGACTAAGGCATCTGCCTGAGAGGCGAGAAACCAACAGTCTGCATTCAGATAAGCCAGTTCTGTAAAATGGATATGCAGGTGAAGCCCAGGTTCTGAAATAAGGATGAAGTCCAGATACGGACGAACAGTCAGATCTTCCCGACAGAGTTGATACAGTCGGTGCACGCTAAGAAGGAGAAGTCCACGAGGAGGAGGATGAGATGGGGGTAAACCGACACACAGCTGCTATCTGAGATGGGGGTAAACCGTCACACAGCTGCTATCTGAGATGGGGGTAAACCGTCTGTCCACACAGCTGCTATCTGAGATGGGGGTAAACCGTCTGTCCACACAGCTGCTATCTGAGATGGGGGTAAACCGTCACACAGCTGCTATCTGAGATGGGGGTAAACCGACACACAGCTGCTATCTGAGATGGGGGTAAACCGTCTGTCCACACAGCTACTATCTGAGATGGGGGTAAACCGCCTGTCCACACAGCTGCTATCTGAGATGGGGGTAAACCGTCACACAGCTGCTATCTGAGATGGGGGTAAACCGACACACAGCTGCTATCTGAGATGGGGGTAAACCGTCTGTCCACACAGCTGCTATCTGAGATGGGGGTAAACCGCCTGTCCACACAGCTGCTATCTGAGATGGGGGTAAACCGTCTGTCCACACAGCTGCTGTCTGAGATGGGGGCGGGGCGGGGGGGGGGGGGGTAAACCGCCTGTCCACACAGCTGCTGTCTGAGATGGGGGTAAACCGCCTCGCCTGTCCACACAGCTGCTATCTTTCTCAGAACAAAATGTTGAAAGTAAGGATATTGCTAGACCAGGATACGCCTAATGAGGAAAAGGAGCAAGGATTTTTTAAACTCTTGAAGTGGGAAGTAAAGACGTGATTATGGGTAGAGTTGAGTCAAGGATTGACATCACAGCACTCGGGGCATTCCCATGCATGCTCCGTCCTTATCTTCAGCAGCCAGCGCAGAGTTCCAATACTTATGGTACCGGTTACAATCTGGTTAAAAGTCCGTCTTGCCTTTCCTCTGAGTGTAGTGAGCCGGCCAGACCGTCTGGTTACACCCAGGTGCCTCATTCTCTCCAGACCATAATAATCTTGTTTCTCTACTGGTTCCGTTGCTTGTTCCCGTGACTATGGGTAAGGGAGCAGCTATCGAACACGAAATACATCTGTAGCTGGGTTACAGTGGATTCCTGTTAGAAATAGAGGGAGGGGGGGGGGGTCTAGTCGTGCTTGATTTAGATATGCAACACTAGGCACAGATGCGTGTTGTGTTACTCACACCGTGGGAGCAAAGGTAATTCCGAGCCTAAGGCACAACTGTGATCACAGCTTCTCTATGTGTGTGTGATCGGTCTACCATTACGTAACACTGTACACTCATGAAACATCCACATGTGCTCTGTCTCTTTTAGCAGATGTGTAGTCGCCTTCATAGCAGACCGGTTTTGAATCTGCCTGTGTCTGCTAAGCGATGACAAAATGACTAACGTTGTAATGTACTAGGTTGGTACCTCATACAGCATACCCTAAACAGCTTACATTACATACCTCAATATATTACACACAGCATACCTGATACAGCATACCTGACACAATATATTACACACAGCATACCTGACACAGCATACCTCACACAATATATTACACACAGCATGCCTGACACAGCATACCTCTCATGATATATTACACACAGCATACCTGATACAGCATACCTGACACAGCATACCTCACATGATATATTACACACAGCATACCTGATACAGCATACCTGACACAGCATACCTCACATGATACATTACACACAGCATACCTGATACAGCATACCTGACACAATATACCACAGACAGCAGATTGTGATTCTCACTGAAGCCAAATCAGCTCTGAGAGCAGCTGGAAGTTATAACTGGCTGTCAGCAAACATAAAACCCAACACAAAAAGAAATGTTAGCCATTATTAGAAACCATTTAATTGTTTCATATCTTTTACAGGCTACTACAGAGTGACCATCACTTTTGTCAACCTTGTATACAGCCCGTCACTGGCTGACAGAAACAGTGCCCAGTTTACACAGCTGTCTGCTCAACTCAAACGGGACATAGAATCCATATTCACTGCAGCTAGAGGGGAACAGACAGTCACTGTGTTAAGTTTTAGGTAAGTATACATCTAGAGGAGACAGTCACTGTGTTCAGTTTTGTTCTAGCAGTGCTTGTATCTCCTGAGCCAGCACCATTAAACTGCGGCCTGACTCCCACAGTGACCAGATCAGATTAAACTTTGTCCTATCAGTGCTTGTATCTCTTGAGCCAACATAATTAAACTGATTCCTGACTCCAGCAGTGACCAGGCTAAACTTTGGCCTATCAATATTTTATCTAGTGAGCCAGCATTGTTAACCTACTGCATAACTTCAGCAGTGACCAAGTTAAACTTGTTCCCATCACTGCTTGTATCTACTGACCCAACATCCCAACATACTGACTTCAGTAGTGACCGGACTTATGCCTTATCTACCTTAACCTAGCTAGTTCTCTAAAACTATATACCTTCTTAGCCAATATAACTTCACTGTCTTGTATCCACCTTCATGGAGGTCGACTTCTGCCTTATCTACCTTTCTCTGTTAGTTCTCCAGCACTATATACCTTCTTAGCCAATATAACTTCACTGTCTTGTATCCAACTTCATGGAGGTCGACTTCTGCCTTATCTACCTTTCTCTGTTAGTTCTCTAGCACTATATATTTTCTTAGCCAATATAACTTCACTGTCTTGGATCCACCTTCATGGAGGTCGACTTCTGCCTTATCTACCTTTCTCTGTTAGTTCTCCAGCACTATATATTTTCTTAGCCAATATAACTTCACTGTCTTGTATCCACCTTCATGGAGGTCGACTTCTGCCTTATCTACCTTTCTCTGTTAGTTCTCCAGCACTATATATTTCTTAGCCAATATAACTTCACTGTCTTGTATCCACCTTCATGGAGGTCGAGGTCTGCCTTATCTACCTTTCTCTGTTAGTTCTCTAGCACTATATATTTTCTTAGCCAATATAACTTCACTGTCTTGTATCCACCTTCATGGAGGTCGACTTCTGCCTTATCTACCTTTCTTTGTTAGTTCTCCAGCATTATTTACCTTATTAGCCAATATAACTTCACTGTCTTGTATCCACCTTCATGGAGGTTGACTTCTGCCTTATCTACCTTTCTCTGCTAGTTCTCCAGCACTATATACCTTCTTAGCCAATATAACTTTACTGTCTTGTATCCACCTTCATGGAGGTCGACTTCTGCCTTATCTACCTTTCTCTGTTAGTTCTCCAGCACTATATATTTTCTTAGCCAATATAACTTCACTGTCTTGTATCCATCTTCATGGAAGTCGACTTCTGCCTCTTTTTTTTTTTTCTGTAGAAACTGCCCCCCCCCCCCCCCCTCCATCGCCATTCTCACCAAGCCACCATGACACTTAACGGCTAAAATACCTCAGCTGTTGGGACAGGATGCTGTTTATGAGCCAGTTCTTCTCGATGCTTAGATCATATTGGATGTCAGTTTTTTCTTCTTCTTTGTCCACGGTATTCTGATAATTTTTCTGCAGCATTTCTTTTCAAAAGCTCCAATTTTTTTTCATGGGAATACTATGGATAGATTCAAAAGAAAAGAAAAGTAATAAAGATGTCTTGAAATAAATGAATTGACAAAGAGAACTTATTACTAGCATAAGAGGGAGACAATCCATATTCTTTGGACTCATCATTTCAAGGGGAAAACTGGACTACCTCAGAAACAAAATTGGAGGAGAAGAGAGCCAGAGGGAGACCAAGACACAAGATGTTGATCAGTTCGACATCATAACCAATAGGATCATTTATGTCAGAAAATATTGAAAGTGCATGAGACAGAAGGCTGTTGACAAGCATGACAACCAGCGTCTCACAGCATAAAATATAAAAAGAAGAAGGAAGAAGAAGAAGAGAAAAAAACTCGGACCATACACTGTAATTTCATTGCAGAGATGAAATGCCTTACAAGAGCTGCAGGAGTTTCAAGGAAAGACTGAATATGAAACCACAAAATCAGATGAATGCTAGTAATAAAGCCAGTCTTACAGGTCCTCAAAGAACAACAAATGAAGTGGTTTGGACACCTCACAATAATGCCCTGTTACTATCTACCACAGCGAGCCACATTGAAACAATACAACGGGTATAAAGCGAGCGGAAGACATCGGAAAAGGTGGAGTTATGGCATTTAGAACAGCCTTACAGAAATGAACATCAGTCTCAATAGAGCTCTTGACAGAGTTCATCAGAAAACGTTACATCTCCCCCTGACACTTCAGTGAGGTGCAAGGAGAAAGAGAAGAAGAAGAAGAAGATGTATGGCAGCTTTACTGAAATACAATGAGAACAGTATTATTACGCAGGGCTGTTATCCAAGGGAAAATAAAGGTGTCCGTAGTTACTGCAAAATGTCTTTAAAAGGTGCCAGTACTGATCACTTAGTGTCTATTAGTGAACTGCTGAAAAAAAAAACACACAAATGATGCCTCAAAGAGGCGCCAGTACTTCATACCATTGCATACTGCCAGAAAAAAAACAAAAGCCCTGGTATTGCACATTTATTATTCTCTCTTTTCTGAATGTCTGTTTTATAAGAATTACATATTTAATGTATTTTATTATGACACACTTATATTGTCACTTTTATTTTCTATCTGATAAGTGAGGGATCAGTCGTAGTGACATTTGACCTAGGAAGTGATGGTCCAGCCACTGAAGAAGAGTTGAGAAGAATTCTAGAAGATGCCATTCGCAGCGGAAGAATCGGCAACAATGCTGTCAGTCGTGAAGGATTTTCTTTTAGGGCACTTGATGGTGAGTGTAAACAGAAGTGTTCACAGCTTGTCTTCTGGCATCATTGTTTAGTTTAGACAGAATTGTTTCGAACTTGTTTTCTGGACATCATTGTTTAGTTAACTCTTTGAGTCCCATGGGGTTAGCCATCAGAGACCCAAGGGGTAGTCAAAAGAAATGTAAAATTGTCGCATCTTGCATTCATTGGGCCTCTAGGTAGGAACTAATCAATGTATAATGCGTTCCTTGGGACTGAAAGAGTTAAGACAGAAAGCGTTCCCAGCCTATACTCTGGGCATCCTTGTTTAGTTAACACAAAAAGTGTTACCAGCCTGTATTCTGGGCATCATTGTTTAGTTTAGACAGAAAGTGTTACCAACCCATTTTCTAGGCATCAGTGTTTAGTTCAGACAGAAAATGTTTCCAGCCTGTTCACTTATTCCATGTTGTCCATATCAACATCCTAGCACATTGGACATCTGACCGATTCATGCTCCATCCGCCAATGCAGCCACCACACTACAGTGTTTATGCTCAATGTACCCATCAGGTGCGGACTGGCATGTCATCTTTCTCTGCGCTGCAACCAATTTCTGCATGCTTGTCCTCGTTCAGTACCCATTGTCAACAGGCAATTCACTCTCTCTGAGTCCTTTGTCTCAACAACTCTGAAAAGCTGCAGTCTATTTTTTTGCCTTCTCCATACATATTTCTTTATCCACTAACCACTGCGGACATGGCAGGGCAGTCTGTTGGCTCTTTTATTGCTTTTCAGCCTAGTGTCCTTGTGTCTCATGCAACCCATACATGTTTGAGTTTGCCAGTTTCCGTCTTCTCGTGCAACCCATACATGTTTGAGTTTACCAGTTTTAGTCTTCTCGTGCAACCCATACATGTCTGAGTTTACCAGTTTCAGTCTTCTCATGCAACCCATACATGTCTGAGTTTGCCAGTTGCAGTCTTCTCATGCAACCCATACATGTTTGAGTTTGCCAATTTCAGTCTTCTCATGCAACCGATACATGTTTGAGTTTGCCAGTTTCAGTCTTCTCGTGCAACCTATACATGTTTGAGTTGGCCTTTTTTAGTCTTCTCATGCAACCTATACATGTTTGAGTTTGCCTGTTTCAGTCTTCTCGTGCAACCTATACATGTTTGAGTTTGCCTGTTTTAGTCTTCTCATGCAACCTATACATGTTTGAGTTTGCCAGTTTCAGTCTTCTCATGCTCACTGAGTTTGTCACTATCAATGCATGTTGTTTTTGTTGTTATTAATCCAGCAGCGCATGAGCTTTTGCCCTCTGGCCCAATGCCATGTAGTTGAATTTACATGTTTTCACAAGCTGTTATTTTCCTACGTACAAGGTGTTCCACCTGTCTGGTCTCAGAGGGAGTAGCATTCTTCTAGTCTTGTTGAGTTTTGGCACTCAAAGAGATGATGGTCAACAGTTTCGTAGGGGTAGCTACATAGCTGGCACTCTGGGGAGTGTTGTGGCTGTATTCTGTTTAGGTGTCCATTGAGTGGAGTATGTTGTGTTCTGAGTCTGAAGATGGTGGCCTGGTCACTTCTTGTTAAATGGTTAATGCCGTCATTAGGATCAGGGCTAGCTTTGTGTCTATAAACCTCTCTTCCAGTATCTCCCATGGCCTTTCTGTTCAGCCAAGTCTCATTGTTTATAGCTTTTATAAATGTTTTTGCAGTCTGTAGGGTTGTCGCTGTAGGTGGTTGTTCTTGTGTTGCTCCTTTTTTTTTTGCCAGTCTGTCAGCTCTGTCATTACCTGGTGTGCCGGAGTTGCCTGGAACCCACTGCATCACTATTCTGATTTTGTATGAGGTAATGAGTTGATCAGCATCTTGAATTATCTTAGCTATGTCAGTTCTGCAGCGTTCACTGCCCTCCAGAGCTTGAAGAGCAAACATTGAATTCGTGAAGATGACAATATTTTGGGCCTATGAAGAATAGACATCCATTACAGTCTTTAGGTGGTATGCTGCTGTTTCCAGAGCAATTGTTTCAGTTTCATAATTTGAGCAGAATTCCCTGCATCCATCAAATAATTCTTCAATAGATCCATCAGGGTAACCTATGTAGATTCCGTAACCTAGTTTAATGGTAGCTTTGAATGCAGATCCATCAGTATAAACATGTATCCATTCTTCAGGGTAAGAATCGATGGTCTTTAGTGATGAGTTCATAAGGGTGATTGGATCGGACTGTTTAGTTTCTTCATCTACCAATTTCAGCTAGACTTCTGGAGCTTTAAAGCACTATCAATGCATGAGTTGCTTTCTGTTGTGCTAGCTGTACAAATGCTTCTGTGACAGCTGCTATCTCCATCAATATGCTAGAAGGAGTTGAACTGAATGCCTGACTTTCTTCTTTGACTCTCCTCCAATTGACCTATGCTGTGTTTTCCTACCTGGACTGCACCCCATGAATCTGTCCCTGAGCTATATGTATAGAAAATGCCATCACTTGATCAGATGGGCTTAAGGATGAGGACCCTTATTTCAGTATCAAGTATCAGCAGCTGTTTGGCTCCATCCTCTGCAAAACCTGCTCAGGGTGATTATTACCTTAATGAGCTTCTGCAATTTTTCTGATGTTTCTATCCCTTCAGCAATGAACCTGACGTGTTTCAAGTGGCATATTTGGCTAGTAGTATCCTCTGTTCCCGTCATTTAGGACTGCCTCCTCTTTAGGAGCTTACCTTTGTTGGCACATAAACAACTGTACAAAGAGTGTTTCATGTTAGCAGTGTCTCCTCTTTGGGTGCTTACCTTTGTTGGCACATAAACAACTGTACAAAGAGTGTTTCATGTTAGCAGTGTCTCCTCTTTGGGTGCTTACCTTTGTTGGCACATAAACAACTGTACAAAGAGTGTTTCATGTTAGCAGTGCCTCCTCTTTGGGTGCTTACCTTTGTTGGCACATAAACAACTGTACAAAGAGTGTTTCATGTTAGCAGTGCCTCCTCTTTAGGTGCTTACCTTTGTTTGCACATAAACAACTGTATAAAGAGTGTTTCATGTTAGCAGTGCCTCCTCTTTGGGTGCTTACCTTTGTTCGCACATAAACAACTGTACAAAGAGTGTTTCATGTTAGCAGTGCCTTCTCTTTAGGTGCTTACCTTTGTTTGCACATAAACAACTGCACAAAGAGTGTTTCATGTTAGCAGTGTCTCCTCACCAGGGCCATCTTATGCCTAGTGACATTCTCAGCTTTCATGAAAGCATGATTGGCCAAGTGTTTAGACTACCGAGCTTTCATGTGGGAGAGATAGGTTTAAATTCTCTGTAAAGTTATGGAGGTTTTTGTATGTTTTGGGGCGAACATAAATGAAAATAAATGTTCAAATTCCTTTGTTAATTTTGTTAACTTCTGCATCATACATGCCGTAAACCCTCCAAGTGACCCTGCCTGTGTAAACTCTACAGAACCTGTGTCATGCCCACCCACTGTTGGCCGGGCACCAGATGCTCTGCCCCGAAACGGAACAAACTGGGCTAGCCTGCTGATCAACAACGTGTTTCCTTGCAGTGGCAGAGTTACAGGCTGGGAGTACTACAGAGTGGTCGCCCAAGGTGAGTCAGCTTAGCTTCTATGTCCATGTTCTACTGCCTGGTAGGAGTAACATTAACAAGTAACTGCAAATAACTGTAACAGTAAGTAACACCAAGTAACAGTAAGTAACGGTAAGTAGCAAATAACAGTAACAAGTAACTGTTAAGTAACGGTAAGTAGCAAATAACAGTAACAAGTAACTGTATGTGTAGAAAGTTACCGTAAGTAATAAATAATAGTAAGTAACAAGTATCAGTTAGCAGCAAGTAACAGGATAAATGGCAACATGTAACAGTAAATACCAATTAAAAGTAAGCAACAAGTTCCAGTAAATACCAAGTAACAGTAAGTGACAAGTAAAAGTGAGTACTAAGTAACAGTAAGTAATAACTAGTAATAGCACTTGGCAACAAGTAACAGTAATTAACAACAAATGACAGTAACAACAACAGTAAGTAACAATAAATAACAGTAGTTAACAAGTAATAGTAAGTAGTATACAAAAGTAAGTAACAGTAAGTAATGAAAAATAACAGTAAGTAGCAAAAGATATAACCCTATGTAATAACAAAAACAGCAAATAATAGTAGGTATTAGTAAATAACAGAAAGCAACAGCAAATAACAGCAAGCAAGGGCAAGCTACATCATGTAAAAGCAAGGAACAATATGTTACTGTAAGAACAACCAACAGCAAGTAACAGTAACATAAAGTAACAGTAAGTAAAAACAAGTAACTGTAACACAAAGTAACAGTTAGTAACAACAATGCGTGGATTTTTATTATGGTATGAGGTCGACCCAGCGTAAAATGGGTACCAGGATGGCTATCTTGGGTAAGTAAAGACGGCCGGCATAATGCTGACCACATTACCCACCTAGCGCTGATTGGTCTGTAAAAATATGGGATGCTCTTCCCATATGCCCGATGCGCTTCCCATATGCCCTATGCGCCTCGAGGCGTAAAAGGGATCTTTACTTTATTTATTTTACTTAGTAACAACAAGAATTAGCAAGTAAAGCCCTCATTTCCACATCTTGAGACATACTGAGCATATGGTGTTCACCCCATTATATTATAGATAATCTGCCCTTTGTGAGAGATGTGGACCAGATCACATCAATAGCCTTTACTTCCCAGGTGTAGCAAAAAGCAGCACTGTCTTGTTCCGTTCTGTTTTTGATGTCTATGAAACACCTTCAGTGTGATTTTTTTGCACATGTGCTAGAGAGAGAGAGAGAGACCTAAAAACATACAAAAAACAGAAATACAGAGATGAATCATATATAGAGGATGTCGAGGGAGCTGCAGGAGATAGTAGGGCTTGACATGTGTCAATTAAAGGGCCTTGCTGCAACAGTGGGTAAAGCTCAGAAAAGGCAGGAAAAAAGAGTTGAACAGGGTATTACTTTTGAAAAGATAATCACTTATGTTTCTATGCTCTTAGGTTCAGCACTTGTTGGTGTATGGAGACCAGTTGGAGATCGAGAATTTGTGTTGATTGGCAAAAGTGAGCTGCCACCAGCTCCTATCGGATACAGGAATGTTGATCTGGAACAGCCAATCTCAGTACAACAGGGAGACTTTATAGGCATCTTCTATCCTCGTTCAACCCAAAACAATGTTATAGCACAAGCCACTCTTGAAGACGATGCTGTCTTATCTCATGAGCTCTACCAGACCTTTTACGTTCAAGTAGGTTGCTTTGTATCTTTGTGGATATTTATTCTCTCAAATGTTTGTTTTTCCATTGTTGTTTTCGATCCGTGTGTTCTTTGTTGGGTCTATTTGCTGTTTGTTGTGTCCATCAGTTCTTTGTTGTAAACATGTGTTCTTTGTCATGTCCATGTGTTCTTTGTCATGTCCATGTATTATTTGTCATTTCCATGTGTTCTTTGTCATGCCCATGTATTCTTTGTCATGCCCATGTATTCTTTGTCATGCCCATGTATTATTTGTCATTTCCATGTGTTCTTTGCCATGTCCATGTATTATTTGTCATTTCCATGTGTTCTTTGTCATGCCCATGTTTTCTTTGTCATGTCCATGTATTATTTACTGTGTCCATATGTTCTTTGTTTTGTGTTTTGTCCATGTGTTCTTTGTCCTGTCCAGGTATTAATTATTGCGTCCATGTGTTCTTTGTCCTGTCCATGTGTGGTTTTTCTGTATGTGGTGTCCATATGTTCTGTCCTATGTCTCTAAGTTCTTTGTTGGGTCCATGTGTTTTTATAATTTCTTTAAGTTGTTTGTCAAGCCAATGTGTTTTTATCATGTCCATGTGAAATTCACAGAGATAATCAAGCCAAGAGTCAGCCAAATTTGGTCCATAATTGAAAACCTTTGTTTATGTAGTATTAGACCACTGGAGAACCAGGAAGGCTGACCCGATGAACAAATGGCTGCAGAAGTCAGATTTTTTGGACAAAAGGTGCTAATATCGCAGCCATGATGTAAACGGGTACAACTTAATTACATCTTCCAGATGAATGCAGAAGAAGAAGAAGAATAAGAAGAAGATCACTGGAAAGAGAAAAGGAAAAAGAGACAGAGGAAGATTGTGCAAGAAGATTCTGGACAGATCTTTGTAATGGCATGCAAGGGTGTCAGCACACACACTGATACATGCTGTTGCAGATTGTGGGGAGGCATGATCACCCCTACCAGTCAGTGAGGCACTTGATGATGATGAGGATGATGAGGACAATGATGACAATGATGATGACAGTGGTGGTGGTGATGTTGATGAAGATGATGATGATTAGACAATGATGATGAAGATGATAATGACAACAATGATGATGATGTGTATGAGGATGATGATGACAGTGATCATGATGATGATGAGAACGACAATAACAATGACGATGGTGATGCTGAGACATGATTGCATATAACCCTGAAAGAGCGGCTTTCAGCGTCACAGCTCACACTGAATTACTGGAATGTTGGGTTCAGAGATTCGGCGGGTAGAATCTACTATCAACTGTCCCTTTTTCACATGACATTGTTATGTATTTGATGTGTTACAGTTTTATGAGGACTCTGTACGCGTAGGCGAACCTTTTGACATCAGCAGGGTTAATAGCTCAGCCACCAATGCAACGTTTGCTATCAGAGCTCTCATGGACTACAATGGGATTGAATATGATTTAGGTAATACCCAGTTTCAGATTGTTTCTGATTGGTCATGTTTTTATAAAATTTCTAGTTAGTTATATCTTAAATTGTTTCTGACTTATTATGTTTTTATATTATTGCTGATTAGTTATATTTTATATTGTTTCTGACTGGTTAGGCCTATGTTGTTAAATTATTGCTAGTCAGTTATACACGATATTGTTTCTGATTGGTTATGTTTTTATACTTTTTTTCTGGTTGACTATATTTGATATTATTTCTGATTGGTTACGTTTTTGTATTTTGTCTGGTCCGTTATATTTGGCACTGTTTCTGGCTGGTTATATTTTTATATTATTTCAGGTTAGTTGTATTTAACATTGTTTGTAATGATTTTTTAAATCACTTCTGAGTGCTTATATTTAGTAGGCTATTGTTTATAATTATTTTTGAAATCATTTCTGACTGGCTATATTTAACAGTATTTCTGATTGGTTTTTCTATTTATTCGTCTTTTTCTTCAGGTTTGCTAGCTCCAGTATAAAGTTCTGGTTGTTTTTCTGCTTTTGCAGTTTAGTCTTATTCCAGAATTTAAGTTGTGTGTACACATTAGTTTTACTGATCTGGCTTATACATATGCAGACTGTTAGTTCCTTGCCTCTTAGGTGGATGCAGTCTGACTTCACAATAAGCACTCCTAATTAGTAGACTGACATGCTTGTGGGGGGGGGGGGGGGGTTGAAGGGTGAGAGGGAGTGGTTCTATTCTATTCTTAACTCACCCGCCGTTCCCCCCCCCCCCCCCCTCGTCAGTTCTGTTTTAGATTTATTTTGTGTGTATTTATTTTTAACTCCTTTAGTCCCAGGAGGTTTAGCATTGGAAGCCCAAGGGGAAGTAAAGAGGGATCTAAAATCAGCGCATCTTGCATTTACTGGGCTTCTAGGTAGAAACCTATGATGGTATGGTGCATTGCTTGATAAGGAATGAGTTAATATGATTATTAAAAAGTGTGGGATCCATAACAGCCCTTTAAGAAGAAAAAAAAAGGGGGGGGGGGGGGGGTGGGGAGAGGGTCCTTTGGTCTTAACTGATTGGAAACCACTGCAGGACATTATTTCATGTCTCCTGATAAGGACCTGTCTGTTATTCCTATCAGATCTTCTAACAGCACCTTGAAATAAACATTTTCTCTCACCTTTTTCAGGAGTTCATACATGTGCTTCTAATGAGTTTTCATGTGGTGACACACACTGCATTCAGGCAGAGTATGTCTGTGATGGTCAGGTTGACTGTAATAATGGCCGGGATGAGCAAAACTGCCGTAAGTGAGACCATAATTATTTTTTTTTTTTTTTTTTTTTTTTACTGCGCAGGCTATCATATTTCTCTAGATGATGCAATGTTGTTTTTCCTTTGGTTATTTGAGGCTCAGTTCCCCCAAAGAATGTGTACTCAAAAGAGCAGAAATACCAGCAGTGTACTTTCTACTGAAGCACAGATGCCTGTGTTGATTGGAACATGTCTATCACATGCAGCATAGTTGCATTCCAAAGGATCTCCTGAATGGGGAACTGGCAACAGGGATAAGATCTGCAGTTAAGCCAGTTCTGTGCTATAAGGGCACTGTCACAATTTCCTTGCTGATAAATGCCTTTGTGATGGGTATGAGTTTGAATCCCAACACTTCACCTCCCCAGGAGAGCCTGGACTAGTTAGTGTCTGAGTGGATTTGATACTAGACACTGTCCTGGATATCAAGGAAAACAGACGCATTTATACTAGACATTGTCCTGGATATCGTCTCACACTGATACTATATAGCCTGCCTTCCCACTCAGGTCTTGTCATAACAGTTAAGGTCCTAAGTCTATTGCCATCTTCACTCAGACTTCAAAACTGGCTGACCTGTTTTGACATGGGCATATGGTAATAGGTTATCTGCTGAAAACTGTATATGTGCAGGATGTCCTGAATATTATGTTTCAGATGACAGTCAGTCATGATTTTCCTCTGGGTTGTCAATCACTGAGTAGGTAAAATCATTTCATTGAGTACATGGTGGGCTATCAAAACCATCAACACAAAATCAATGTACATGGTTATGTTGATGTTTGAAACAGTATAATTTCAGTGAATTTCTTTTCAGTAAATATCAGTATCCAAGTCTTATTTTGTAAGCATGAAAACATATACTGAAAAACATGTTAAAAAAATACATTCAAGAAACAGGAGTGGTTTACCAGCTCCCTAACTGAGATATGTGAATACTCATAAAGAAATATTTCAAGCAGAATGTTTTTGTACATAATCCAGAAAGGGTAGAATATAATAGATTCCTAACAGATAAATTAAAAAATTAATTTACCTGGGAAAAATCCAGCAATTGTCAAATAAGACTCACACAGCTAGAATGACTTTCTGCTGTAGACCTTAGTTGGTGGCAGACTGGCAGCTGTCTGAACTGGTTTCAAGACCGCTAGCTCTTTCTCTGTTTCTCCTACATTTAGCAAAATTTAGCTCCTCCCCTTTCCTGTATCTTCTTTCCTTCAGGAGAAGCAATAAGCCCCACCCCCTGAGATACCTTCACACTTATATTATCTAGCTTTTAGCTGTCAATCAATTACTGACTGCCCACCTAATTATCAAACCTTAAGTGGGGCCATCAAGCTTTACCCATGTCCATAACAGTTGTGGAAAAACCAGCAGAGTGTGGAGACACAATGTCTGGACTTCCTTGCTTGCCGAGGTTAGTTTCCCTGAGCAGGCCAAAAATACATGTTGGACATTCCTTTAATCATATTTTTTGGTTTGTCTTTGATTTCAGCCACAACAATTGAATCAGAAGAGCCTTGCCTTGAAGGTCGATTCCGCTGCAGCGATGGCACTTGCATTAGTCGTATCTTGAGGTGTGATGGAAAAGCAGATTGTCCTGATGGTTCAGATGAGCGATGTGGTAAGTAGACTGCAGTCAGTAGAGATTCCAGTACTTTGAAATAGATTGAGCAGATGATTTTGTCTTCTTCTCATACGGTACTAAGAAGTTAGAACAGTAAATCCTGACTGATCAGTATCTGTAACTTAGGGTTGCGAATGAATTTTAATAATCGAGAGTCTTCTCTATCTAAATTGATTACACTATATAAGGTCCAGTTACTCTATCTATATTGATTACTCTATATAAGGTTTAGTTACTCCATCTTTATTTATTACTCTATATAAGGTCTAGCTACTATATTTATATTGGTTACTACTATATATGGTCTAGTTACTATATCTATATTGGTTACTCTATATATGGTCCAGTTACTCTATCTATATTGGTTACTCTGTATAAGGTCAAGTTACTCTATCTATATTGGTTACTACTATATATGGTCCAGTTACTCTAACTATATTGGTTACTCTATATATGGTCTAGTTACTCTATCTATATTGGTTACTACTATATATGGTCTAGTTACTCTATCTATATTGGTTACTCTATATATGGTCCAGTTACTCTATCTATATTGGTTACTCTATATATGGTCCAGTTACTCTAACTATATTGGTTACTCTATATATGGTCTAGTTACTCTATCTATATTGGTTACTCTATATATGGTCCAGTTACTCTATCTATATTGGTTACTACTATATATGGTCTAGTTACTCTAACTATATTGGTTACTCTATATATGGTCTAGTTACTCTATCTATATTGGTTACTCTATATATGGTCCAGTTACTCTATCTATATTGGTTACTCTATATAAGGTCTAGCTACTATATTTATATTGGTTACTACTATATATGGTCTAGTTACTATATCTATATTGGTTACTACTATATATGGTCCAGTTACTCTAACTATATTGGTTACTACTATATATGGTCTAGTTACTCTATCTATATTGGTTACTACTATATATGGTCTAGTTACTCTAACTATATTGGTTACTCTATATATGGTCTAGTTACTCTATCTATATTGGTTACTCTATATATGGTCCAGTTACTCTATCTATATTGGTTACTCTATATATGGTCTAGTTACTCTATCTATATTGGTTACTCTATATATGGTCCAGTTACTTTATCTATATTGGTTACTCTATATATGGTCTAGTTACTCTAACTATATTGGTTACTCTATATATGGTCTAGTTACTCTATCTATATTGGTTACTCTATATATGGTCCAGTTACTCTATCTATATTGGTTACTCTATATATGGTCCAGTTACTTTATCTATATTGGTTACTCTATATATGGTCTAGTTACTCTATCTATATTGGTTACTCTATATATGGTCCAGTTACTTTATCTATATTGGTTACTCTATATATGGTCTAGTTACTCTAACTATATTGGTTACTCTATATATGGTCCAGTTACTCTAACTATATTGGTTACTCTATATATGGTCTTGTTACTCTAACTAAATTGGTTACTCTATATATGGTCCAGTTACTCTATCTATATTGGTTACTCTATATATGGTCCAGTTACTCTAACTATATTGGTTACTCTATATATGGTTCAGTTACTCTAACTATATTGGTTACTCTATATATGGTCTAGTTACTCTAACTATATTGGTTACTCTATATATGGTCTAGTTACTCTATCTATATTGGTTACTCTATATAAGATCCAGTTACTCTAACTATATTGGTTACTCTATATAAGATCCAGTTACTCTAACTATATTGGTTACTCTATATATGGTCCAGTTACTCTAACTATATTGGTTACTCTATATAAGATCCAGTTACTCTAACTATATTGGTTACTCTATATATGGTCCAGTTACTCTAACTATATTGGTTACTCTATATATGGTCCAGTTACTCTAACTATATTGGTTACTCTATATAAGGTCCAGTTACTCTAACTATATTGGTTACTCTATATATATGGTCCAGTTACTCTAACTATATTGGTTACTCTATATATGGTCTAGTTACTCTAGCTATATTGGTTACTCTATATATGGTCCAGTTACTCTGTCTATATTGGTTACTCTATATATGGTCCAGTTTAACTTTATCTATATTGGTTACTCTATGTATGGGCCAGTTTAATTATCTCAATGCATATTGATTATATATATATATATATATATATATATATATATATATATATATATATATATATATATATATATATATATATATATATATATATATATATATATATATATATATTTATCAATGTTTGTATGTTTGTTTATTACCTATAGACTCGGAAACTTCTAAACCAATTTAGCTGAAATTTTCAGGATATGTTTGTTTTGATACCGGAATTCTACCTGTCATGGTTTGAAATAGGAAGTGACATTTGTTAGGAAAATATTTTCATTTTAGTGACATTCAGTTAAAGCCACGTTCCAAAATGCGCATGCACAGTAGTCGGAACGCACGACTTCCACCATTCGCCGGCAAGGTACAGCAAACCAAAATCTTTCTATATCTGTGAAGGCAATGATTGCGACAATAACCATATTGGACACGATTTCTATTTTCTTTCTTTTCAAACAACATTTGATGAGTTAGAGAGTAGTTGGTGGATTTGACAGGGGGGTAAAAGGGGGGGGGGGGGGGTGGAGGGGGAGGGCCGCATCAAAGACTATCTCTGTTTCTGCTCAGACAATGATTCCGACATTAACCATGTTAGACACGTGCAATTTCTATTGTTGTGCTGTTTCAATATTACTTTTAGTTTATATCTGGGATATCTGTCTATGAGAAAACCATTTTCTGCGGTTTTGAGTGGTGTTAGAATCGGGACACAGTAGACAGGACACATATCTCAAATAATTTTGTTCTTTTTTCGTTGCACAGAAAGAGTGGTTGGTTGGCCGAACGGTCAAAACACTGGGCTCCTGTGCGGGAGACCAGGGTTCAAATCCCCAGTCAGGGATTTGATTTTTTTTTAAACCCGGGGGCAAAATAAATCATCACCTGCACTGTCGTGGTGACAGCACTAGCCATGTGGCCCTTAATACTAAACAAAACCAAAACATAAAAATACAGGTATGTGGGTAAACCAGTTGATAAATAAATTTGACCATTTTCACATACTTATAATTTCATTTCAAACTTTCCGATAGCATTGTTACGTTGATTTTTCATAGATTTCCATTTATTTCGTCTGACATTGCGTTAAAATTAGGCTGTGCTGTTTACCATAGCATTAATTTTGTAATTATGGTGTATTTTTTCTGTTTTCGTTGCTTTCACTTGTTTTTTTTTCTTCCAACTACTTCAATGAGGGAAAGAGTAGTCGGTGAATTGGGGAAGGAGGGGGGCATAACATAAACTGTTAACTGAGAGAGCTTTAAGTCACAGTAATGGCCTTACCCAGTCAAAATAGAAGTAGTTGTGGTTGGGTGGCTACACCGTAGTGCTGTCATGCCGAAGGCCGCCGGTAAGGTGATGGCGTTTTTCTGTCGGGGAGCAAAATTATACATCCTAACTTGACCAGTCCGTGGCCACAGCACTAGTCATGCGGTGCCAAATTCTCTGGCTCATGACTCCCTGTCTACTCCGATGGTAAAACAGATAACAGTGACATTATTTTAGTTACTGTGGTGGTGGTGGTGGTGGTGGGAGTAGTTGTACTGGTACTTGAATGATGGTGTGGTAAATATTACACTAGCCCCATTTACTACTCATTACAATTCCTGCTACCCATTTTAGTCCGGATGGACAGGGATATCAAGGTCAGTTTAATAAAAATATCATCAGGTGATGACTTTCAAATCCTTCAAAGAGGGAGAGAGCAGTAGTCGGTGGAAGGGGAAGGGGAGGGGGTGATGACAGAAATTGTTAAATTAAAGAGCTTAACACATGATTTTAAAGTTTTCATTTCTTAATTTGTTTTATTTTACTAAAGCTACCTCAGCTAGTATCATTTTGTATGTGTGTGTGATTTGAAAGTACAGTAGGGAGCTTCACTTTCGGCTCTTTAAAACCAAATAACCATAATTAGAAGTCCTAATAATACAATTTAAAAGACCACTATAATGACACAATTATATGTTGCATGTTCTTGAGTCGGCAAACCAGATTATCTCTGTATCTGCGCAGGCAATGATTGCGACATTAACCAAATAAGACACGTGCAATTTATATTTTCTTTCTTTTCAAAAATCCTTTGATGAGTTAGAGAGTAATCGGTGGATTTGGGGGGGGGGGAGGGGTGGCGGCGGCATCAAAGGCTATCTCTATGTCTGCGCAGACAATGATTGCGATTATTAACCATATGAGACATGTGCGATTTCTATTTTCTTTCTTTTCCGTTTAACCAAAATATGCCACAGCAACGCGTGGCCGGGCATAGCTAGTTCTATATACAAACCAGTTTTTCAAAGTCTGCTCTGTGTAATTTTGAACTACCAACGAATGTTGACATATTCATTGGAGCTCCTAATTTTCTTCTTTGTATCTTCAAGTACAGGTTTGTATTTGCTTGGGGAAATGTTAAGTACTGATTTTAAATAATGCATGTGAGATAGTTAACATTCAAATCAAGCAATAAGGAAGGAAAAAATACAAGACATATCTTATTGTAGATCCCTCATGACAGGGTAAAAGAAAAGACTTCTGGCCGTCTAGTGTTGGGACTGTAGGTGAAGGCTGTTTTGTACACTCAAGCTAAATTGCTCCAGGAAGTTGGATCATATAACTCATGGCAAATTATAGTAATTCCCTAACCTTGTTTTGTATGCAGCAAGCATTAACTGGTGGATGTGCAGAATAGAGGGAATTAAATGGAATCACTAATTTTGAGCTTTGGGACAGAACTAAAAAAGTTTCACTGGACCAAGAGTTGAAGAAAAGATGCTGATGCAGGATAAGAGACATGTTAAGAAATCCTGAGAACAATATAACTAGAATTCTCTTTACACTGGAACCCACAGGGACATAGAAACAAAGGCAAACCAAAAACAAAAACCTGGAGAAGGGAGCTAGAATAAAGTTAAAAAGATGGGGAGGACATGAAAAGAGCTGCATGCAATGGCAAAGGGTGGAACAACTTGGCGTGAGTTGGTTAAGGGCCTATGTTCCATTGGGGGATATATGACAGAAGAAGGAAAATAAGAAGAAATTACAGTTATCCCTATTCTTGCTTTTGCCTCTAACAAGTTTCTATAGTTGAAATGATATGTCTTAGTGATTTGCATTTGAACATTCCAGAACCCTGTCAGGTGGGTGAATTCACTTGTAACAACAGGGAGTGTGTTGCAGACAGTCTTCGTTGCAATGGGCAAAGTGACTGTCAGGATGGATCAGATGAAGACAACTGCCCGACAGGTATGATGAGGGTCAGAGTAATAATGATTGGTAGATGAACCAGTAGTGACTGGTACTGGTAGTTGAATTAGTCATAATCGTTAGTTTAAAGGGTAATGATTGATAGTTAAATTAAAAGTGATTGGTAGTTAATGAGCAGTATTTGAGGCAAGTCAGAGAGTTCTTCTTGTTTGAACAATGTGATCTTATCAGAAGACTCAACACCAAAGTACATGTAGATAAGACAAGGCCACTCAGATCATTGGCATGATGTCAACAGCTCCTTTATATTTCATAAAGTTCTGGATCTGGTAGCAGACTTTAGAGTCTCTCTCTCTCTCTCTCTCTCTCTCTCTCTCTCTCTCTCTCTCTCTCTCTCTCTCTCTCTCTCTCTCTCTCTCTCTCTCTCTCTCTCTCTCTCTCTCTCTCTCTCTCTCTCTCTCTCTCTCTCTAATCTGTTGCTGGGTTCACCTGGGTAAAGAGTCAACGTCACAACATTCAAGACCAGCCCATATTAGCTCCGCCTCCCCCCTCAACAGCCAGGAAGTCTCCGTACTGATGATACCTGTAGTTATTTGGTTAACTACTCATCTTGCCTTTCCCCAGAGTCTTGAGTGGCACCCAGAGCCCGCAGACACTTCCCCCTGCACCATTCTTTTCTATGTGTGGGTTTTCAGTATCTTAAATTGTCCTTGTTGCTTCACTCCATAGATGAGCACTTCTGCCTTGGGCAGTTGTAGTTAAAGGTTAAAGTTGAGGTTAAAGTCAAGAGGATCAACTTTACTGCACTGGGTTTTATCCTATATGGCTTGGTCTCTCTCTGCTGAATGGCTAGCTGCTTGCTGAGAGCAGTGCACAGAGCATGACCTCTGTAGCTGGTTACGATCCCCAAAGATCTCACAAAAATTGCACTTGTGCACTGAACAGCGCCTAGTATCTATCTTCAATACAAGTTGTGTAAATGGTGAAAACCTAACCATGAAAACACCAACAGTCTCTTGAAAGTATCTGCTCAAATGCTAAATTAATTCATGCTGCACTGTTTCTGATAGGAGCAGTGTATCAATACATGTATTTGTATTTTATATTTTATATTTTGTATTTTGCATAAATCTGTTCATATGTGTAGGCTATAAATGGGTATTTGATGTGTCAGAATTGTAACTCTTTCTAATCCAGACAACACATAGTATATAATCGGAGAATCCTTATGAGTCATAGGCAATTAATCTGTTTTTATTGATGTATTACATTTGGTCAAACAATACTACAAAAATCTGGCTACCAAAGTGGCTACTCTGCTGTGTTTAGTCTTATTCTAGAATTCATTATTTTTGTGCCACTGAGGTTTTTTCTGCCAAATCTTCTGGTACCAAAAGAGTTCTGTAAGTGAGCAATAAAAATTTGTGTTATGCCATTGGTGAATAGTCTATATGATGCTCAACATATTTTTTAGACCAATCAGCACTTGATGGGTGGTGTGGTGAAAATCATCAGCTACTTTTACTTCCCTCGAATTACCTGGTACCCATTTTAGGCTGTGAATATGGCTCTGTGCAGATCTGAACCTAAGACTTTCAGGTCAACAGTCAACATTCAAGTAATGAGTGCTCACAGATTTAATTCTCTTGAATACTGATTGAATGTTAAATCAAGATACAGCACCGGGGACATTAGTTTAATTCTCTGATAATTATTAATTATGTATAAATTCCATGGTTTAGGAAAAATTTGTCTCACAATGACACACATCATAGCATCATTATTTTCCCACAACATAACATGAACTTTACACCACACCTGTCATAGAAATTAAAAATCTCAATGTGCTCTAAACTTCCCATTTTTAACAGTTATCCCACATTTCTATTGTAGAAATTTTATTAACCTTCAAAAAAAAAATGTTCTGTTTTATAAATTACAATATCTTATTTATCTTAATGCAGAGTGCAAAGAGGATGACTTCCAGTGTGGGAGCGGAGAGTGTATTCACATTAGCAGTGTATGTGACGCATTCCCAGACTGTGAAGATCGCTCAGATGAAGATCCAGACAGATGTTGTAAGTTATTTGTGCACATTGTTTACTTCATAATAAGCACTTCAGAAAATTACGTTTGAAAATTATCTTGACTTCCAGTCAAGAGGACATGGCAATTGGATGTTTATTTTGTAGCCAGCATCTAAGTGGAGTCAATTTCTGACATCCTAGTGTTAAAACTATGTAATGCTAAACTGAAGATGATAGCTTAGTTAAAATGTGACTATTCCAAGAATTGTGACTGGAAAGTTAATGAAAGTTATTTATTTAGTGCTCAAAGAAAAATGGAAACGATTCTCAAAACTGACCATCATGACTGAAAAATCATGTAAAAATTACATCACACCTAAAAAATTTAAAACAGTTCAGAAAATGACACAAAAGTGATTTCAGACTTCGAAAATGAAAGGACTTTGTGTCACTAATTCTAGTTTTTCAAAACATTTTCATACAATTTCATTTTCCCAGCAAACAAAACATTAGTAGAGTGTCTCTATGGTGCACTGCTATAGTGGCTAAAAGTGTGAACAGGGTGGATTCCAAGAGCCATATAAGTGGTCAATAGTCCGTAAAGAGTTAAAACACACACACACACACACACACACACACTTACACACACACAGACACACATGCGTGCGCACAGCCCACACATGTTCTGGGGCAATAACTTTATTCTCAGCAATGCATTCACTGTTTGAAGTCTTCAAAGAAGCATAATTTTTCATCTTATTTGTTTTTCACTACAGAGAAACTCTTTCTACAGTTGCAGAGGAATGATGTTATGCCAAAAGATTTAGGTGTACATTTTTATAATAATGGAAAGCCATTTTCACCCCACATTTCTGTGTTTCAACAATTTTTTTTGTCTTTTTAATCATTAACTCTTTGAGTCGCAGGTGGTTCTGCATCAGAGGCCCGGGAAGGGGGGGGGATATGATTTTGACTTTTAACAAATGCAGCACTTTAAAACAAACCACACAACTGCAGCTGATGTCCAACATACACATATCGTACATGAAAATAAACATAAATGGATAAGGATTAATATTAGCATACTGCTACAACAAACAATTATACTGTTAGTTAGTATTTAGTAGAGAAAACAGTGACTTAGTTTGAGAGGTAAGTAAATTATGAACAAGTTTTTTCCACTTACCCAGAAGCTGATCCCAAAATTCTTGATAAAATATATCCAAAATGCATCAAAAAGGAAGGTACACTACTTATAAGTATGCACAGCCAATATTTTAAAAAAATGTGCAATAGTTGTTGTTCCATAGCAATTTTAATAACACTACCATAACACGTCAAAATATATTCTCCAGTGGCACAAACAGGGATTTTTCTAAAAACAATTGAATTCCTCACACAGAAAAAACTGTAAAGGCACTGTAAACATGTCAACCTGTTCATAGATATAAATCTATGGATTTAGATGATATGGATAGTAGTACTAGAAGCGCTGACATTTGGACTAGTTGGTGTCGCGTTACAAGGTGCTTCTTTTGTGTTGCCATGGCAGAATTAGTCAGTTTATTCCTATTAGCAGGAGGTAAATTACGCACACATCCTCATCAAAACTTGACTCATCAACTGTTTGGGGAAATTCCATGTCGCTACTATCATTATCCAACTCCACATTACTTTGATCGATCCACTGTTTTATCAAATTATATGCGTCTAAAGCAGTAAATCGCTTTGCTGGGCATGAAGACGATGACTGATCGGACATATTGTTTTCAGACAATTGTTTGGTAATGTAGTAGACCACACAGATATCGATTTAAAGCGTTAACAAATCCCAGACCCAAACGAATGCACTCCACGTGTGTTCACTACACACTTGAGAACCGGAAAGGAAGTTTAAATTGAGCGGTTCGCGTGTAATTACTGATAAGTGGTAAATAAAAAAACCGCCCCACGTCATGAGCTGACTGGGCCGCCAGGTAGTAAAAAATTAGCACGTGATGCGTTCCTTGGGACTCAAAGAGTTAAGTGACTGACTGATCTTGCACTATTAGTTCTCTTCATTCTTTGTTTATATGTTCAATAATTTTTTTTTTCAACAAGGCTAGGAAATTGAATGACCAATAGCATAATTCACATCAGTTTACCTTCAATAACTCTCACTGGGTCCACTATGCCAAAATTTAAACAAATATTATCTTTCCACCATCTTCTTTGTCTGAGTCATGATCTGCTCCCATTAAGCTCTTTTTTTTTTTCACAAAGTTTTGTTTTTGTCTCTCTGTTGCCTGCAATTCTCTCTGTTTGCCCCAACCATTGCAGTCTAAATGCCTCCTGATGTCAGTGATTAACTGTGATTTAAGCAGATTATATATGTCATGGCTGATTCTCAGTTTCCATTCTCTTCCATGATCATCTTTGATGGGTCCACAGATTCATCTTATGATTCTTTTCAAAAGTTTGCATTTAAAAAAATCATGAAATAATTACTTTCATATGTAATAATATGATGACACACACACACACAAACACACACACACATACACACACAGATATATATATATATATAAAACCCTTGACTCATTAGGGTTGTGGAGGTGTATTGATGGAAGCCCTAGCACACAAAACCCACCATCTTTCTCTGTCTTCTGCTTAATAAATAATTGAATGATAACTTGGTGCTGTCCATTTCTTGATGTTGTCATTCCACATTCTTATTTGCACTCCTCTTCTTCAACTACCCCCCTCCTCTCCCCCCCCCCCCCCCCCCCAATGTTTCTTGAAGCACAGTCTTTGCAAACGAATGTCTCACCACATGCCCAAACCAAGCTAGCTTCCAATCTTTTACCACTGACAAGAGAGAGACTCCTGATGTCCTGCAAATTTGTATATTTTGTCTCTGCCATTTTTATTAGTTTTGTGTTCTAAATAACTTATTAGTAAAATGTGTCTATAGCATTTACATTTGAAAGCCTGAATCCTTTTTTTCATTTCTACAGTGAGAGTCAAACTCTCACATTCCTATAAGAAAATAGACAATACCAGAGATCTGTAAATATTGGCCTTAACTGCAACACTGATTTATGCTCTTCTACATCATATTTTGCTGGAAAATTGCGGCTGTTGACATATCAAGTCTTGCCTTGATTTCTTTGGTACAGCTACCACAGTTACATATGTGGGAGCCAAGATATTTAAAGGTTTTAGCTTCTTCTAGTTTTTTTTTCTCTTTTACCCGTATGTTGGTAGGTACTTGATTATTGTGAATATTTACCAAAATATTGCTTTTCTTGGCATTAATTTCCCTGCCATATTTACCATAGACTGTCTCTAATTTTGTAATAAGTGTTACAAACATGTAACTTATATCAGCTGTAAACAGTAATAAAATTAAGTGAACTAGAGGGTTTTACTGAAACATCTCAACATATTGTCTACATGCGTGTTGTCCGCTTTGTACTTGAGCTAGAAGGATTTATTTATTTACTTAATTTTCATCAATAATTTCTTTGTGGGATGCAATTTTCCGTTATTTAAAGGCCCACCCTGGCTTTTGTCGGTGGCCTTGAATATGGCCTAACGGCTGAAAGAAGTTTCTGCGACCTCTCCACGGGTGATCCTCATCCGCATAGTGGCACTTTCTGTCACCGAGTATTTATTGCTTGTGTGATGTCCTGGTGGAGTATAACAAGAGAGAGAGAAAGAGAAAGAGACTTCATTTTAATCAATTCTTACTGTAGTATGTGCCAGAAGAGATACAGCAGAATATGCCTGGTAATAAACTGTGTAATCTATCGTTTGTGCTTTCTTTTTTTTTCCCCTTGATTCAAATATTGTCTACAGTTGAGGGCTTGGTTTCAGAGCCTGTGTATTTATGATTTCACATTCTACAACATACTTGATCTACATTTGTTATAACCATCTTGTTTATTGCTCACAGTGTCACAGCTGACCACGTTTCCACCAAGCTGTGCTGCAGGATATTTCAAGTGTGTCATCGGTGGCTGTGTTGAAAATAGTCGACTTTGCGATGGTGTTCGTGACTGTCTTGATGCTAGTGATGAAGATAACTGCAGTAAGCAATGACATTTGATCATTTTCCCTTTGAAACCTTTTTGTTTCTTGTTGGGATACAATGTTTATTTTCTTACTGGGACACATCATTGTTTCTTTTCTTGTTGGGACACATCATTGTTTCTTTTTTTGTTAGGACACATCGTCATTTCTTGTTAGGACAACTCTTTGTTTCTTGTTGGGACAAGAAAAATTCTCAGAATACCATGGACCAAGAAGAAAAGAAATACACCTTTACAAATCTGAACATCAAGGAAGATTGCTTAGTACACAGCATCTTTTTTTCAGAAACTGAAATATTGTGGCTTTAGCAAGCACTACTGCAGACAGAAAAGAAATGTAGCAGAGGACATGGTACCAGGAAAGAACAGCTGATGTTGACTAGTATGAAGATGGGCACAGGATATAAGGGACATCTTGGATAGGAAAGTACATGAGGTGGGAGAGCTGGTGAGAAACCAAGTTCCTTCCAGGCAGGCTGGGATGAGAGTGGTATTCTGCAAAGGACCTGCTACATAATGATGTTGGGTCACAGCTTTGTTACTGGTGTTTCTTATTGAGATGCAGCCTTGGGACACATCTTTATTTCTTGTATTTTGGGGACAAGATCAGGGTGGTCAAACCCTCAGATACCAGCCTGCAGGGGGAAAACAGAAAGAGATGGACAAGAATAATATTTGTTGTCCAGACATGCAATGATCTGTTTCTGGTGACATGCAAGCACTGAAGTGAACAGCAGTAGACAGACATGCAATGATCTGTTTCTGTTGACATGCAAGCACTGAAGGAACAGCAGTAGACAGACATGCAATGATCTGTTTCTGTTGACATGCAAGCACTGAAGGAACAGCAGTAGACAGACACGCAATGATCTGTTTCTGGTGACATGCAAGCACTGAAGGAACAGCAGTAGACTTACATGCAGGGATCAGTCATCATTAGAGTAGCTTCAAAATCACCATATTGGCTGAACTACTTGTTAAT